CGTCAAAATGTTGGTAACTGTTGAAGCTGGGGCATGGTGGAGTGGGTTCATCACGTATTCTGTCTGCCTTTGTGACTCTTGGGAAAGTAGCCTAAGTAAAAGTAAAAATTCAAGTGAATAGGCCAGATGAAGCATTTGTTTTTTTCAATAGTAACTGATTTATTTGACAAAGATACTCTTTCTTCACCTACTTCAATTCAACAGATTTTTTTTAACGAACGCCTACCTCATACAAAGTTGAATAAGACTCAGCTTCTGCCTCTCAGAACCATCTGGTCAGAGAGGAGAAACTTACATTTGTGAAAAGATAACTGATACTAATACTAATATTAACACTCGTACTCATACTCATACTAACACTAAGAGCTAAATCGACAATATGCAAAACAGTCAAGAGCTATCACAGAAAAATTCAAGGTACAGAACACAGCGCATGGTATGCTACTTCTTTTTTATTTTTTTATTTTTTTTGCGGTACGCGAGCCTCTCACTGTTGTGGCCTCTCCCGTTGCGGAGCACAGGCTCTGGACACGCAGGCTCAGCGGCCATGGCCCACGGGCGCAGCCGCTCCACGGCATGTGGGATCCTCCCGGACCGGGGCACGAACCCGTGTCCCCTGCATCGGTAGGCGGACTCTCAACCACTGTGCCAGGCGGACTCTCAACCACTGTGCCACCAGGGAAGCCCTACTTTTTGAATATGTAAGGAGAAAAATAAGAATTGCTAGTTTTATTTGATTATGAGTGAGTATAGAAAAAGTCGGGAAGGACACATAAGAGACTATAAAAAATCGATACCATTTAGGAGAGAAGCAAATGAGGGACAAGGGAGGAGCTTTTACTGAACACCTTCTCAAGCTTTCTGGTGTTTGAAAACATGTGAAGGTATGATTGCGTATCAAAAATTTTAAATAAAAAGTAAAATAAGCTCTCAGCTCCTCCTCCATATCAGACCAAATTTTTCCTCTATTAAAAACCCTTTTTTGGGGGTGCTTCCCTGGTGGCGCAGTGTTGAGAGTCCGCCTGCCGATGCAGGGGACGCAGGTTCGTGCCCCAGTCCGGGAAGATCCCACATGCCACGAAGCGGCTGGGCCCGTGAGCCATGGCCGCTGAGCCTGCGCGTCCGGAGCCTGTGCTCCGCAACGGGAGAGGCCACAACGGTGAGAGGCCCGCGTACCACACACAAAAAACAAACAAACAAAAAAAACCCTTTGGGAATTCCCTGGCGGTCCAGTGCTCAGGACTCGGTGCTTTCACTGCCGAGGTCTGGGTTCAATCCCTGACCGGGGAACTAAGATCCTTCAAGCTGCACAGCGTGGCCAAAGAAGAAGAAGAAGAAGAAAAAAAGTTAAACAAACAAAGAAAACTTTGTGTGGTCCTATTATCCTTGGTATATAGTGCATAGTCCTTGTGGTGGCTTCTCAGGATGGGCACAATGTGGCTTCTGCATCCTCTCACCTCATTCATGCCCGTCACACGATTGTGCAGGCTCCCAGCTCGGCCACGCCTGCTCTGATGCGAAAAGCCAACGAGCTCTTTGTTCTGCCTGGTTCATCCTCGCTCCCGCCTGGCCTCACCAAGCCCTGACCATTCAGGTTTCCCTGAGATGCCACATTCTCGGGCAGCTCATTCGGTAACTTGCTTTAGTCCCTTATGTCTCTATTTTGGTAAGGAAATGCGTCTAATTTGTAAGTAATTGTCTGCTTTCATCTTTGATACTCACCTGTAAACTCTACGAGAGCCAACTAGTCTCATTGTCTCCTGTGTTCCATCACCTATTTCCAAGCTTCCCGTCTAGTGGGGGTTGAATATAGAATAATTTCAGGGGCCACAGTTGTAGAAAATAAAGACACGGTCAGCTTGCATGTGTATGATATGTAGCGTGCAAGAGAAGATAGCATTTCTGTGAGAAAGGAAGATGGAGAGAAAGTGCTAGAAGGAGCAGACAAGGAGTGGCATAAAACAGCACCACAAGAAGTGACCCAAAGAATACTTTCTGAAGCAGAGGTCTTCTTTGAATCAATGTAATGGAGGGCACCCAAGAGAGGAAAGCTATGGGGAAAAATGGAAGTCCCGAGCTCATGGGACGCAGTGAGGATCACCTGGTATGACACACGTGGAGCCCTGGGGAGGGACCTGCCCGTGAAGCTGCTCAGGGCTTCACTCCTCCGAGCGGCAGGAGACAGGGCAGCCTCACTGCAGCCCCTCATGGACCTCCACGTCAATGATTTCTCTAGAGCTGCCCAGGGTGGGCAGTTATGGGTTTAATCCCTGGGTTCACTCCGTAGGATGGGACGTTCTTGCTCAGTGCCTCTCCCGTCTTCAGGAGCTGGAAACTGCACTGTCTGTTCAAGGCTCCTGAGTTGAGGACAGAGGATGCCTTTTCATGCCTGCTTTTCCCCATCACAATTCTGATTCTGAGCAAGTTACTTTCTATCACTGAGCTTTTATATCCTTGCTTCTGTTCTGAGTGTACAGGCTGTTGAGAAGGTGCCCTCATCTGCTCGGGCTGCAGAATACCACAGACTGGGGGCGGAAACAACAGAAACCTGTTCTCTCACAGTTCTGAAGGCTGGAGGTCCAAGATCAAGGTGTCTGCAGGGTTGGTTTCTCCTGAGGCCTCTCTGCCTGGCTTGTGGGTGGCCATCTTCTCCCTGTGTCTAAACATAGTCGTTCCTTGATCTGTACCCTGATCTCATCTTCTTATAAGGACACCAGTCAGATTGGATTAGGATCTACAACCTTATTTTACCTTAACTACCTCTTTAATGACCCAGTCTCCAAATAGAGTCCCATTTTGAGGAACTGGGGGTTAGGACTTCAACACATGAATTTTTGGGGGGTGGGGGGCACAGTTCAACCCATTAACAGAAAGCTAAATGAAAACCTGTATATTAAAACTTGGATAAAACAGGCACTTGATCAGTGCTGGTTCAATTTGTTGACATTTTCAGAATGGCTGTCGTCAAAAAGAACACAAATAACAAATGTTGGCAAGGATGTGGAGTAAAGGGAACCTTGTGCACTGCTGGTGGGACTGTAAATTGGTGCAGCTACTGTGGAAAATAGTATAGAGGTTTCTCAGAAAATGAAAAAATGAAAAATGGAACTACCATATGACCCAGCAATTCCACTCCTGGATGTATCTGAAAATAACAAAAACACTAATTTGAAAAGATACCTAGACCCCAATGTTCATGACAGCATTATTTACAATTGCCAAGATATGGAAGCAACCTAAGCGTCCATCAACAGATAAATGGATAAAGAAGATGTGGTATTTATATACATATATAATGGAATAGTACTCGGCCATAAAAAAGAACAAAATTTTGCCATCTGCAGCAGCATGGACGGACTCGGAGGGCGTTATGCTAAGTGAAATAAGACAGAGAAAGACAAATACTGTATGATATCACGTATATGTGGAATCTAAAAAATACAACAAACTAGTGAGTGTAACAAAAAAGAAGCAGACTCATAGATATAGAGAACATACTAGGAGTTACCAGTGGGGAGAGGGAAGGGGGAGGGGCAAGATAGGGGTGGGGATTAAGAGGTGCAAACTATTAGGTATAAAATAAGCTACAAGGATATATTGTACAACACGAGGAATATAGCCAATATTTTATAATAACTATGAATGGAGTATAATCTTTAAAAATTGTGAATCACTATATTGTACATCTGTAACATATAATATTGTACAGCAACTATATTTCAATATAAAAAAGGAAAAAATGTGTTGCTGCGTGTTGCTGCCCTGTATTTCGCTGGGATAACCTATGGTCCATGAGCGGGTATTACTGCAGCTCTGACTGGGCTGAACTGGCAATCAGACTTTGTTTCCTTCTGTTTCCCGCCCAGCTCCCTCACATCCCATGCCTGCTGTACCACCACTGGCAAGGGGCAAATGAGGGCAGAGCTGAGAACTTTTGGGCTGCGATGCTGCTGAATCAAAAATGGACTTGGTGGGGCTTCCCTGGTGGCGCAGTGGTTGAGGGTCCGCCTGCCGATGCAGGGGACGCAGGTTCGTGCCCCAGTCCGGGAGGATCCCACATGCCGCAGAGCGGCTGGGCCTGTGAGCCATGGCCGCTGAGCCTGCGCGTCCGGAGCCTGTGCTCCGCAACGGGAGAGGCCACAACAGTGAGAGGCCCGCGTACCGCAAAAAAAAACAAAAACGGACTTGGTGAGTCTCCTCCGACCACATATTGTTAGGGGTTTCAGGACATCGTCCAACTGTTGTCTTACTGGTCACATGCCCTGTGTCACTGGAGCACAGGTTCACAATTGTCATCTTAGGAACGAAGGAAAATCTGTCCTGAGCCGATGGGGTTGCTTGCGATATCTTCAGAAAATAGCCTTTCGGTGTTTCTTCAATTAACACAAAAGGAAGTAAAGAGCACCAGTAACAACCCCTGAAAATATAAAGAAAAAGGGAGAGAGAGCTACTTGGTTCCGAAGATGAGAAAAGTGAAAAGGTCTTTTGAAAATTCTGTCTCTGTCCCCGCCTCTGTCCCAGGTCAGAGCAGCAGCAGCTCTGGCTCTGGGCCTTTCCTCTCGCTTTTCTCTCTTCCTGGTCCCACGTTCCTGCATCCTGAAAATGCCATCACCAGTTATGGATTCCTCTGAGTGGTGCTCTGGTGGTTCTCGGTCACTCAAAATGTCCCTCCGGCCAGGGTTCATGGCTGTGGGCAAGGCCTGCCGGTTGGCACCCCCGCTTCTTCTGAGGAGAAGCAGGCAGAGGCTTTCAAGCCCATGGGCTGTTTGTCTGCAACCTTTGACTCTCGAAGGCCCCTTCGTTCTGCAGTCCTCTGCTCTTCTGTTTAACGGCAATTGTAAGTGTTCAAGGGACAACCACGGAGGGGAGCGGCCTCAGCTAACGGGGCTAAATGACGAAATAAAGGTAGACATGTTCTCTCTCGTGCACAGCCCTGTCTATTCCAAGAGCATAAATAATGAATTTGAGGGGAAAAAAAATGAAGCATGAAACCTAAATGGAGGTTTGAAGGAAAGAAAATTTTAATTCTAGATTTTGCGGAAACAAAATTTCTGGTTGCAATTTTGAATAGTCTTGATGGATGGAGTTGGCGGATGGTGACCACAGCTGCGGCGCAGAGAGGTCAGATGGCTTGCCAGGAAAGAGTGAAAACTCAGGGAACTGTAATGACGAGAAGCCCTCAAAGAGCTTTCAGGGAGTAGACAGACATGCTGGGAATCCTGGGAGCCACTGCAGTTAACATCTAGAAACAATCGTGGGACATCCTTGCCTAAAATACAGACCGACAGTGCAGTAGTACACTCTCAGTGTCTAGAGCCTGGGCTCACAACAAGCAAACAATCTGTGTAGCATATAAATGTATGCAAATATGTATACATTTGATATATTTATATATTTAAATAAATAAATATATATATATATACATACATACATATACAGTGTACATGTATTAAATCTGTGCTGGTTAGAATAAAATCAAATGGGGAGGAGGGTGGCAGATCCCAAGTTTTTCTAGTCTCCATCCGAGCTGGGAAGGGACCAGGTTCCTGTCGTGCCTTGCCTGGCCCAGCCGCTCTCTTCCTTCTGTGTAAACTGTGCCATGAAGGAAAGGGGAGGCTGTCACCTTACTCAAGCTGCTACCGAGCTCTCTCTTCTTCAGCTGAAAAGAGCCTAAGATTTTTTTCTTTTAAATAGTATAGGATCACTTTAAATAGCCAGGTGGTCATGGTCAAAAGATGCTCTAATATTTATGCAGAGTTCATGGAAAGGAGCTCACAGCACTCTCAGGATTCTTACCAACCCTCAGGTGTTGCTGGGTGAGTGTGAGTGTGTGTGTGTGTGTGTGTGTGTGTGTGTGTGTGTGTGTGTGTGTGTAGGATGGCGGGAAGGTTGGGAAGGCGATGGAAGGAAGGCATGATCTTCTTTTTAAAACAAGCTGATAGGGAATTCCCTGGTGGTCCAGTGGTTAGGACTCGGTGCTTTCACTGCCAAGGGCTCGGGTTCGGTCCCTGATCAGGGAACTAAGATCCCACAAGCCGCGCAGCTTGGCCAAAAACCCAAACCCAAACCCAAACCAAAAAACAAGCTGAGGCGATGAGCATTTGTGCTTTTGCATCGTTTCCAGTAAGAAAGAATCCATATAGTGCAGGGGTCCCCAACCCCTGGGCCTCGGACCAGTACTAGTGCACGGCTGTTAGGAACGGGCCAGCACAGCGGGAGGTGAGTGGCGGGCTACGAGCGAAGCTTCCTCTGCCGCTCTCCATTGCTCCCCATTGCTCCCCATCGCCTGCACCATTCCCCCGCCCAACCCCGCTGTCTGTTGAAAAATTGCCTTACACAAAACCGGTCCCTGGCGCCAAAACGGTTGGGGACCGCTGATATAGTGGACTCCTAGTGGAGTGCTCTGTCAGGGAGGACAAAAGGCAGGAGGGGGAAGGGGGCTGGTCTCTTTTGCTGGCCGCGCTGAGGCCTTAGTTGGCAAGGATTTGAGAGGACAGGCGGAGAGGTGCTATGTCACGCCGGGAGGGCTGGCTGGCTGGTCCCCACCCACTCCCTACCTGCTTCCCACCCATCCTGGTGTCAACTTCAAGCTGGAACACCCTCAGCCTTGTTCGGTGAGCTTATCTGACTTTGATTCCGTAGCTGCGGTGCAATACCAGGATACCCAACCAGAGTGCCACGTGATGTGAGAGCTTGCCCTCGTGGCGCTGGCCCCTGGGGTGTAGGACGGGGAGGGGGCGTCAATTCTTCTCTGTGGCTTTTCGGGCCTGCCTGGTCTGGCTGCTGTCACTCTGGGTGGCACAGGAGATGGATCAAGGGACAAAAAGAACTCCTGCCAGGCTTGAGGTGTCGCAGGAATTCTATTTCCTGTCCCTGCATTTCTGTCTGGGTCTGATCCTGGTCTTGGAGGGGAGTCAGTAAACATGACCCCAGAAGTCTTGGCATGAAAAGAAAAAACCCACAACAAAGCAGACTTTTTTTTTTTTGGACAGACTTTCCCTTTACCTGAAGTACAGGTTTGTTGACTGTCAGGCAGTGCAGCTCGCACAGGTAGTCAGTCTCTTGTGTGGCCGGAGAATCTGCCATCTGGGTCTTCCTTTCCTGTCAGCCCTCACCCTGGTATCTGTTTGCTCCCAGAGTGTCCTACAAATCACAATAAGCGTGAAAAAAACACAGATGAGCCCCCCAGGTGCTACAGCCTAAGGTGATTTGGGAACACAGGGGACAGTCCTGCCATCCAGCGGCCAGTATCCTGGGGTTTGATGGGTGTTTGTGAGATGGAGGTGACAGGACAGCGGGAGGGTGGAGAGCAGGTGGGGGACAGCCAGTGGCAGCATTTCAGAGCAAGATCCTGCTCTAAAGAGCTTGTAGCCAAGCTTGTAGCTTGTAGCTTGTAGCTTGTGGGCTCTGGGATGAGCCGGGACCTCTGGCTGACCTGTCCATTTCAGCTCAGTGTGTGTGGCTGTTGGCCGGCAGTTACTGTGCAAGAGGAACCTGGGGCAGAGGACAAAGAGGAGAGGAAGCCACGTGGGTGAAGCCAAGCTAAGCAGAGAACGGATGAGAGGTGGGAGAGGCCCGAAATCAGAAATGAGAGTGCAGGAGAGCGGCAACGAGGAAGTGAGAACGTGGGGTTCTGCAGAGAGGAGTTGTGATTTGGGGGCGGAAGACCTGGGTCTCACCTCTGCCCTTTATGAGCTGGGGAGCCTTAGGAAAGGGATTTACCCTCTCTGAGCCTCCATTTTACCCTCTTGAAAGTAGAGCCGATAACCTCCGTCCTCTCTCCTTCATAAGGATGGGGTGAGAATTAAATGCAAACATGAAGACCTTGTAAGACAAAACTCACGCTAACACCCTCCTTGGCCAACCATTGGTTGGTTCAACAAATTTGGTTAAAGAAAGAAAGACACAGGGGAGTACAAAACAGAACATAGAGAGAAGCTGATTAATCAAAGGAAGCAGGAGGGAGCCAGGTGGAGAATTAAGAAAGAACCAGATGGTGATGGTGTTGGCAGAGACACCAGACTCACTTGAAGATGCAGAAAGAGTGATGGGGTCCAATGGATGAGCAGCGATACCCGTGCTTAAGAGCTCAGTGTCAGCCCAGTGAGTGAGAGACAGGGCCCGGAGCAGGGGGAGCAGGGGAGAACCCCCACGGTGGAGACGGCGAGAGAAAGTCAAACAACACTTGGTCTTAGGAAGCCTAAAGGCAGAGGCAGGAGGTCGCACACCGATGGGCAGACAGATGAAGTCATCTCGGGTGTGGTACAGTAGACGGTGAGGCAGAATGATGCAGGCTACCTTAGTTGAAATTTAGGGTAGCTGAGATCTTTATCCAAAATGGTAATCTAAGAAAGGGACGTATTTTTTTTTTTCAGGAGAGAAAGCCTTCACTGATTTGCTCTGAATCCAATTATTTGGTCCAAACTGGAAGATGAATCACGTGTAAGAGAGTCCAGAGAAGGAGAGTCCCATGTACAACTCAAGAGGAGGTGGGTCAAGCTTCTGTAATTCAGTGTCATGAGAGGTACAGGAAGAGGCTCTGGAAGGAGGTGACAGCACTGTTTAGCCTTCCAGGAAGGGGGCCAGTGAAAATGGGATGATTGTAGTTGATTTAAGGGGTAAAAGTTGAGAGGCACAGGACAAGCGAGGTTGAAACGGCTTCTCTGAGAGGCCCTTTTATTCCCAGGCAAGACGTTGCCGCTGCTGGGTTCAAGGGGGGTGGGAGGGATGATGGATTGCCAATGAACATATGAAGAATGAGGCAGAGCCGCATGAAACCATTTGTTTGGGCTTTATAGATTTTCTAATAAAAATGTCAAGGTTTTTTCACACCATTTCGAAAATGTCATCAAATGCAAAACAGTTCTCCTTATGCCAGTGATAAAGGCTGCATTTCCAATGGTAAATTCCAGCCTGAGATGCAATAACAAAGTTTCTCAGGTTGCCTCCAAGTCAAACCAGGGGTCAGGGTCGGTCCAGGACCCTTCGGGGTGACTCTTCACAGTAACTGACCCCTCCCAATAGAGCCCAGAACTCTCCTGACTGTGAAGTACTGGGGGAGTAAGGCTTAGTTAGCCCAGCGGGAACATCCCTGAGAACAGGGAGCCATGTTTGGAGAGTAAAGTATGTATCTCTGAGCCTCTGACTCAGGCTTTGTCTGCGGTAGCCGTTAGAGAACCTCTCTGTGGATTTTCTTGTCTCTAGACTCTCCTTGCAACCTGCCTCACACACTTCCTCAGAGTCCTTCTTCTTATTAATTGTTATTATTTTAATGCATCTTTAATCAGGTAGCAGCCCAGCTCAAAGACCTTCCATGGCTCCTCCTTGCCTTTTTTTGGTCTTCATTTTTCATAACATTTTAACGTAACCCAAGAAATCCAAGATATTATCGTTACAAAGTATGATCCACATCAGAATAAGGAATAAGATGTTTTATATCCTATGTTTGTACTGAGCTTCAAATCCAGTGTGTGTTGCATAGTTACAGCCCGTCTCAATTTTAAAGTTAAATTTTATCAGTTATACTTCATCTTGCGTTTAGCTTTCGTAAGATTACATTTCTAAGAGAAGATTCACAAACCAAGTTGTCCAAACATACCTTAAACATTGCCAATAACTGAATAGAACATCAGGTTTTAGAGTTGACTTTACACTAGTTAAATTTGAATCAAATTTTTAAAATCTCATTCTCATTGCAGAGTACCATCCCACCGTAGGGCTGGACCATTCACTACCCTTTGTCTTTTATATTAAGTGCAAACTCTTTTGACTGGTATTCTACCCCCTAATTCCTTTGCAGCCTTATCTTCTGCAATTCCTGGGCATGGACCTCATACTCCAGCCAAACTCATCCAGCCTCTGTCCCCACCTTTCACATTTCCTGTTCTCCACTGCAGGGCCTTTGTCACCCCCTTCATCCAGGGCATTTTCCCTTCACACCGTCTTTGCCTATTAAGATCCTGTTGCTCCTTCCGGATTTATTTCAGAAGTCACTTCTTCCATGAAGTCTTCCCTGATTTTCGGAACTGTGATTCTGTCAACGGTTATTTCTCCTTCCTTTTTATCCTTCAAAGCACATCGGTGCCTCCAATGAATCCACTTTGACCTGTATTCTAGTCTAATCCGAGATGCTCATCTCCTTGAAATTGAAGTAGAAGCGGCCTCACACACTTTCCAGCCCCCTACACGCCATCAGCTGCACTAAAGCTCTCTCAAGTTGCCTCCTTGTGGGCCACCAGGATTAGGGAAGAGTGAAAGCTTTCCATTTAGAGTCAATTTTCTTTTGGGGTTCATCTCTGTTAAGTTGACTTGCTAAAAGGACCATACGTGGAAAAAAGAAAAGAAAAGCAGGGAGAGCAGTTGGGTTTTGACCTTGGTCTGGTCTAGCACATCAGATCTGCTGCCCCACATTTGACTTTGGTAGATGTCTCTTTCCTGGGCCCAGAGGCAGAGGCCAGGAAGGGACTTGCAAATATGCTGTCTTCCGTCCCTGGCGGGTTCTCTGCAGCTCAGAGGAAAACACTAAAAGGACAAAAAAAGAGAGGGGGTTTCTGAAGGGACTCTGTTTCACGTGTGGGACTTCTAGGGGGGCTTCTAGTGGACCAGGACTCTAGGGGGTCCCGGTCCAAACACTTCCTCTTGGATCCTCTGAGCGTGAGGGATTTTAAACACCGGAAGGGCTTACTTCCATGATCCAGGCAAACACCGGAATTACAGTCTTTGACTTAAAAAACTGTATGGATCTGGGGAGTGGCCAGCAGGAAGGCAGTAAGTTCTATATGTACTGTCTGGAAGGCATAGGGGTCAGCTCAACAGGCCTGCCACCTCCTGCATCCCAGGAGCGATGGAGTGTTGGTGGTTGGATCAGCAACGTCTAGGCAAGAGTTTTGCAGTGTGCAGGAGGAAAACTTGGAGAAGCGTAATAAGGCAGCTCCCGGACAGGACTCCCAGGGGGCAGGAAGCCACTGCTAGGATAACTGACGGTAGCTTAGTCTGTTAGTCCAGAATTTGATGGTCTAGTCCTAGATCGGCCAGTGTTTTATGGTAGAATCGTGAACATGTCCACCTCATGCCCGAGTTCTCCATATGTAGATGGGATTGTTGCCTGACATTTCTGGCAACCTGGCCAAACATTATGACTGATTTAGCTTCGAGCTTGAAAGCCTTGCACCCCTTCCTCCCTCCCCCTCCTCCCTCCCTCCCTCCCTCCCTCCCTCTCTTCCTCTCTTCCTTCTTTCCTTCCTTCCACAGATATTTATTAAATGCCTGCCAATGACCGGGAGGATACAGCAGTGATCAAAATAGTCAAACTTCCTAACACATGCTAGCAACAACTAGACAAGAAAAAAAAATTTTTTTTAATAATAAAAAAATAAAATACTTATTTTATATATATAATAATTCTTGGGTATTGGTATATAATACTTTTTGGGTAGTGGTAAATGCTCCAAAGAAAGATAAATGCTCCAAAGATAAATAAAGATGGGTGAAGGGACAGGGAGTTCTATTTGGGACTGAACAATGTAAAGAAGATTCATCTGTGGGGTGGCATTTGGGCAGAGCCCTGGAGGAGACTCGGGTGTCATTGGGGGAAGCGCAGTGGGACCTGCAGAGGGAAGATTTGAGTCAGGCAGTGTGCTGCCAGCTGTGTGACCGTGGGCAAGATGATAACTTCTGTGAACCTTGTTTCCAAGGTTTAAAATAAAGCTAATGACGCCTACGGGAGATTAAAATGCCAGGAGGCCTGGAAAGGCTTGGCCTGCAGTACAAACTGGACCAGGGTGCATGCTGTCAGGCTAGCAGCCTGCAGCCCGGGTGAGCAGATTGCTAATCACCCCACTCTTCCTCAGGACCAAGTCAACCCTCAGTCTCTCTGGGCCTCTTTCTCAATCAATACAAACGGAAAACAACCCTTGGCCCCTCCTCAAAAGAATGCAAAAGAGCAGGTGAGGTAGCAAATGCAAAAATGCTTTGAACCAGCCCTTCGGATAAAGGTCTGCAGAGAATCAGAGCACGTGGGAGAGGCCGGCCCTCACCCCGCGGGACTTGGCGGCAAGGACTCCAGCACCAGGACGGGTCCTTTAAAAACGTGGGGTTTAGACCGAGACGGAGGGAGACAGATTTGCTAGCACAAGAAAGAGCTGGGAAGAGAGCCAGTCCCGGGGCGGAGGCGCAGCAGAAGGGCGGCTCCGGATGGCCGCCAGGAAGCAACAAAGCGGCAACACAAACAGGAAGCAGGACCGCTGGTGACAGGATGGGGCCCTGCAAGAGCCGGGAAGAGCCCGGAGAGGCGGCGGGGCCGCCGGGATGCTGGGGGAGCAGGCGGCCTAGGGCAGGAAGGGGGTGCCTCTCCGCGCGGGGAATCCCAAGTGAAATTGACGTCTCCATCTACGTACGGAATAATGCACCCTCTTGCACTTTTCTTAAAAATGCAACAGAAAGCTGCCTACTCTGCAACTCTCTTCCCGCCACCTCTGTCGGGAAAGGGTTTTTCTGCTTCCCTTTTACCCACTTACGTATCCACCTCCTCTTTAGTGAAATAGCATCGCACCCCGGGCCTGCCACTACCCTCTGCTGATTTCAGAGGCTCGGGGGAACCAGAGCCTACCTCATTATTGGGAACCTGCCGGTAGGGGCATCTAGCAGATGATTGACTCCCAATGAGAACAGGATCTGCGTCTAGAATAATATGAGTAGATTGCAGATTGATTCATGGGACCAAGCACGGAGCAGCCCAAACTCCATTCTTTCTTCCGTTCCATCTCCGACCTCCTGTCAGTCTCAAAATTGATAGAACAGCCTGAAGCCATTGAACAGAGTTATGTGGGCAATCATCTTTCTAATTCTTGCATATAGGTGCCAATATGTCAAGAGGACCCAGGCGAGGGGACAACAGGGTGGCTTTATTTAACATGATGACAAGCAAACGCTTGAATAGCAAGGAGCTCATGAGCTTTGCAGCAGCAGGAAAAAAAAAAAAAAGGAAAAAAAGGCCCCTGCATGGATGCCTGCCTGCACTCCAGTAGCCCTGCACGGTGCAAAAAAGAGATTGCTAACAAAAAGGTTATTCAGCGGCTCCCCGAACAAATCCAAAGGTAACAAGTATGGATGGAGCAGATGTCAGGAGACTGAGCGCTATTTTGGAAAACTGCCGAGATATTTAGAAACAGCGCTTTCTTATTAACCCAAGCATAATGCTGAAGGTCCTTTAAGATAAAACTTCCCAGAGGCCACCTGTATTTGACATGGCGATAAGATGAATGCCTGAGTGTCCACTGATACTGGAAATGCTTTTAAGAACCAGCCTCAACTGATGGTTCTGGCACAAACAAATCACGAACTAATTTATGTATTCCTGCAGCTGCACCCCGGCCGAGGCGCGCAGGCCGATTCACAGCTGACTGGCGCTGCCTCATTCTTTGCAGATTTGGCATTTAACTGTAATTAAGATTTATTGTTCACTAGCTTGCAGGTCAGGGCGAGCATGACA